CATTATCTCTAGTCGCTCATTATCTTAATATAAGCAAATCTTTAAGATGCCTCTCGATAATACTACCCTATATGACCGAGAAATTTGGTTATCCTCCATTTCCTTTGTTAAGTTTCATAATTGTCAGCGAAGATCAATATCAATAAAACAGTCTACCTACTAAATCTTTACATCCATTTGCTATTATACAATCAGGATTTACTAAAAACCTTAAGATCTATGTACCCCACCATTCATCTACATGGTTATCTTCCAACTTCTAGTTTAAAAGGTATTTCTTCACCCCCTCTCGTATTCCATAAGAATTTGCTTTATATTCTCTCCAATCTCTTCTCCTCCCACATTTCAGGGTGTCATCGTTATAAATAGGTCAAGGGCTATATATTGTACTCGAGGTCTATATCTTTTCTCCCTTTTCAATAAACATCTCTTTTGCCATACTTTTATCCTCTTCTCAACTCTTTCAATTATGTGATTCGACATTACATAGCCTTTCTAGGTTCACACAAATCTAAGTTGCATGAAGCGATTCAACCTTTATTGAGGGCCTCCGAATATACTTTATGCTGTCAAGCTCGTCTACTAGAATAATATTCCTTAAATTTATCTTTAAGCCCAGAGACCATCTGAATTCATATCAATACATGCCTCAAGCATGAAATCTAATCTACTTCAGTATCACATAGGACGGGTGTAAAATCAGCAAATGACAAGTGGGACACTTGTACACTATCTTGTGTCCATTCCTAGGTTTAAAACCCTCAAATATCTGTCTATCAGTGCTCTATATATCATTTTAAGCTATGCTTCCACCACTGAAACTGAACATTAAGAATAACAGATAATAAAATTATATATAAAATCACCAATTATGTCAAGATTAGAAACTCTAAACCAGTTTCAGCACATGCTAAAATGGTGCTTCAGTACCATTCCCGCTTATAAATTCTATTGCTCTTCATGATTGCAGGCCATAACATAAGGCAATGATCTGCCTAAAACAGAAGAGCAACTCACAGGCTCATGATAGCAACAACGAAGGGACTAATACCTGAAGCTTTCAAATGACATAGCAGTTCTTTCATTTCTTCTAGTATCTCTGATTTATGATGCTATGACTACTTGTATACTTGATATCAAATATGGACATTGCTTTTCTTACTCTCTAACATCATACACTATTATACTTATCATTTCTCTTACACCTAGAGAGATGAAATATTTTTACTTTGCCCCACTAGCTGCACATTTGCTCTTCTTACAATCTCTAACATCATACACTATTATACATATCACTTTTATTGCACCCAGAGAAAGAAGAAATATTTTTACTCTCACCCTTTACACAGCTCAACAATGCAGGGCATATCTCTGGTGTTACCAGAAAAAATTAGTAGCTTGTTGGAAGTGTGGCAATCACAGGAGGCTAAAGAGAGCTTAAAGCCAACATGGAGATCTATTCCCAATTGCATAATGTGGATCTTATGGCTGGAAAGAAACAAGCATGCTTTGATAGGAAGAAGTTACAGATTTCTAAGAGAGAAAAATAAATGCATTAAAAATCTGTACTTGTTATAGCAGTACTACAGAAATGATGAATAAGTACTCCTTTAATAAAATCCTTACTTACCAAAATAAAAAGGTGCAGGAGGTAAAAGGTAGATTCAAGTCATTCAACATACCCAAGCATGACAGTCAAAAGCACATAATATCAGGAGAATCTTCAAATTGAAAGAACAAGATTTGTTTTATTCTCGCCGAAGAGTATTAATCGAGATGTGAACACATAATACACAATGGCAATAGTCCCCAGTATGTTTTCATCTAAGTCAGGTTCAATGAGCTCCAACTCGTCCTTAAAATCAGATGCTGGTCTTTACAGCTGAGGCATGCGCACAAGAAAAACAAAAGTTACACGCATCAAAAACAGCATCGAACGACACTCAAGTTGAAATTTGTTGCACTACTTCTAGAAATCACTATCATTGGATCCACATATACGCATTTATGAGAGGAAAGATTAGAGAAAATAATTCAACTTCTGCTTAAAATACGGATCCTATTATAAAAGGTTTCAACAGAAGCAATAACTTTCGGTCTCTTTGGGTTCGGCTCTGATGCAAAAAAGAGATTTTAGACTTCTAAATGAGAGAGTTGA